AAAAACACTCACATACATGCATGCATCTTCTTATTTTGTCTTATATTTGAAATAATGTACCTGGCCGTCATGTGGTCTGACAATATAGAGATAAATATCTTATATCTTAATAATTGATAGCAACATCTATTCTATTATAATTCATATAGAATAAGTTCGTATCTGCTAAGAACACAAAACATTCCATTCAATGACTCTATGTTACTTTAATTCAAATGCCACTATTGATAAGATGTGATAAAATGTTTCTATACTGTATGCTGTAAGTACTTGGCTTTTGAGAAAACATCTCTCCTACTACATTATAATTTTTTTTTGGCTTTGGGAGATATTTTACAATAATTTTCTCAGAACATAATATAAGAATTAGATAATAATCACAAAGACGAGATGCCTTTACATTCTAATGGGAAAAAAATGGTAAGTTGGCAGAAGCTAAAAAGTATAAACTTGAAAACATCACCTTAAGAATTGGTATTGATGGATTAAACCAAAAATATATAGAATCACACACACACACACACACACACACACACACACACACACACAAATGATAAGCAAGAAATACCTCAGTGATTGTGGGATGAAACCAAAGGAAGTCTTGCCAAATTCCAAAAAGGTTGTAGGTTAATTCTGTCTGTCAAAACAAGTACAGGCTGCTCTCCCGTACTGAGATAAGAGGTTCGGTATAACCTCTGATGAGAGAAGGGAGTTACATTAGAATGGTTTCAGCAATATACTGTGCACCTAGAAGGTCTCCTCAGGCCCGCTCAGCATGGCCACTGTGAGCGGTGTCCTCAGTGTAGTGAAGTCACGCACGGCCCCGGGGGATCCGTTTGGATGAATGAGTGTATGATGTAAAAGGAAGTTTCCTCTTTCATTTCCTCCTATATGCCAGGACAAGTAGGGATCATCTGTATTTTTGTTTTGTTTTTGTTTTTTTAAATCTCTGGAAGTGTCTCAAGTCTTTTACCAGCTTCCTTTTCCGGTTGTGTCTAGGACCTAACTTGCCTACCGAAAACTCACCATTGTGGCCCCCTTTCAGGGCTGCCAAACCACTCGCTGTAATTACTTGACTTTTGATCAAGTTTCCTTAATTTTCTCTGACTTGACTCCCTCTTTGCCTTTAGGTCCCCGGACCTTTGATTTTGTAGAGCATTTTCAGCAAATGTGAAATTATATTTTCCAAGCCCCTCAGAGATACAAACCTTTTAAAAGGTCTCTCATCAGCTTTACAACTTACAAATGACTCCCAGCCATCTCGAAATTTCATCACGAAAGGAAGTAGCAGCCCCGTGGGCCCTAACTTTGTCACAGTGTCATGAGAAAGGCTAATTTTCTTTGTGGTAAAGTCAATAAGTAAACATGAATGACCTCTGTTCGCCTAACTGCAACCCAGAACTCCCCTGGCCTTCATTTCGGTGGCACTGGGGTTTTGCTGAGTTCCAGCCTCCCTTCACTGTTGTGTGGTGTGGTCTTTCTTGAACAGACTGCTCTGTCTATTCAGTCTTATCTAGTGAAACATTTTTTTGATACTTTCAACTTTTTTTGCCCAAATTTACATTTTTTATTCCATCATGATTCATCAAATGAGATATCAGAAAGAAGTTAATCGGATCAGTAATTTATAGTGTGTGTGTGTGTGTGTGTGTGTACACCTAGCATGACTATGGTGATCAGAGAACAACTTACAGGAGTCGATTCTCTCTTTCTATCATATGGGTTCTGACTTAGAACTCCAGATTGCCAAGCAGCAGTCACCTTTACCCTCTGACCCTCTTGCTGGCTACTCTACTCATTTGTAAGTAGGCCAGTGGTTTGATATATTTTAAAATAAGCTTTTATTTATTTATTTTTTGTTTGGTTTTTTTCGAGACAGGGTTTCTCTGTGTAGCCCTGGCTGTCCTGGAACTCACTCTGTAGACCAGGCTAGCCTCGAACTCTCGAACTCAAGAAATCTGCCTGCCTTTGCCTCCCAAGTGCTGAGATTAAAGGCGTGTGCCACCACTGCCCGGCTAAAATAAGCTTTTAATTCACTTGGATTCCTGAGCTTTTTCCAGGTGAATTCAACTTAAATAACTATTTCACAAAACCTGGAGGAATATCAATGAGATAATCAAGGCATCTTTTAAGGCCGTGTTCTAAATTTCATCCTATCACTAAATATCAACTGGAGATTGGAAAACAAACAAACAAAATAAAACAAACAAACAAACAAACATAAAAACCAAAGAAACAAGCAAACTACTGCCGGGCCTGGTTCATCCACAGGAACTGATTTTATTGAACAAGAGATGAAATAGTCATAAGGATTTTGAAAATCCTTGTTTGGTTCTAATTGGCAGTTCAGTCTGTGAATCACTGTTTAAGATTCTCGGAGTTTCTGTCTTTCTTTTTTAATTAAATCAATTCTTCTATTTCTGGATTCAGCAAGCACTTTCTGGGAGACCACTTCCTGCCAGACACCATCTTATTACTAAAATGAATGTGGCGCAGTCTCCACGTGGCAAGGACATCCCAAAACAAGGACAAGCAGGATAGACATGTCTCAATGCTAGTAAAATACAGACAATAATAGACGGTCAAAGGTGACAGACACCCAGATGAGACAGCGATTAAAACTCCCTAGGGATTATATCTGACTTCATTAGCCTGATGTGTGTGCGCACAGAGAATGATGTCAGACCACGGAGAGAAGCTTCTAGGTAAAGTAAACAATAGGGAGCAAATCCCAGGGATCAAATAAAACCACCTTCGTGTTAATGTCCTCAAGGTCTCTGAAGCTGCTGCCACTGCTGCCGCCTCCGCTACCCCCGCCGCTGCCCGCCGCCGCTGCCCGCCGTCGCTGCTGCCACAGCTGAGATCTCACCCGTCTGGGTTGACCAGACTTTTTGGTAAGGACTCAACATTTACTGTGTGCACAGTTTCATTATTTTTTCTGGAAAGTTGTGTCCAAATCAACGCACACCAACATCGACCTACACGGAAATAACACAGAGTTTTTTGTAGTAATGACAGAGTATTTAAAGTGGCTGGTCCGGAGAATAAGATCTGGCCATAGTTCCTAATTTTGAAACACGGTCTCTAGTAGATGAAACTGATTCTTCCGACCCCACTTCCAAAGTCCCAGGAGTCCAGGTGTGCATGGCTATATCCGGCTCATTCTGAAAGCCCTTCAACATAGATAAGGACAAAGCAACATCACCTAACTGAATTTTTTTTATTGCATTATTGTATAAATTTACTCAGCCTCGCCAAACTATTTTAGAAATGATTGGCTACATGGCATATAAATTATAATGCTTCTTAAAAAACTTGAAGTGTAGCAGATTGAAGGGGAAAAAGCAATTCCTCAAAACGTCCCTGGTTGACTTAGTGCTTCCTTGATTAAGGAGATCTGGCTGGAATCCTAACAACTGACAGATGTTGAGGCTCTGGGCACAGTGATCACAAGGGGTGACAATGGAAGAGGGTGGTCTCATATTCACAGACTCTTCGAAGAAAGACTGATCGAGTCCTTGACATACCATCTACAAGAAGGACAACCCCTTAGGATATGACCTGTGTTACCTCTTAAGTCTAACGTGACAGATCACTCATGTGTTTTAAACAGCATGATTATAGAACGTTTAGAATTGCTTTCTTTAATGCTATGCTGATATAAAATATAACTGATGTGTGTTATCTACAGAGGCCTTTTAATATCAAAGTATCTATTCGAAGTTCTCTTTAGGCAAGATCACAGGCCTCAAGCTACAAGAATATTAAAAAAAAAAAACAAACCCTAAGGAAATACTAGCTATCTCTTAAAGCCACACAAACTAACCTTCTTACCTAATCAAGAGGAAAGGCTACTTTATTCCTTATCCAGTTGCATCCTTGGAGTGGAAACTGCCATCTTGCTATCACAATCGTCATGGGCACGATTCTATTTTATTTCACTCAGTTTTAAATTCATTGAGCAGCATTCAAACCTAGAATTCGGCTCCCTAGAAGAGCTTGTTGATCAAGAAGTGCCTCAGGGAGGGACTTTCCAATCGTACTCTGCTCTGGTTTTTCAACCTGTCTGTATTTGGCTGTAATGAATCAGTCTCTTCTGGATTAAATAATAAAATCAACAGTGGGGACTACAAAAAGCTGTGCATCTGCCCTTTCTTGTCATAGAGTGGAGTTAGTGCACCCTAGTGGATGACCTAAGGAGTGCACCTCCTTAGACTAACTTTTTAGATTTTAGAATTCTATCTATCTATCTATCTATCTATCTATCTATCTATCTATCTATCTATCTATC